TTCAGGTCTACTGCTGGTATGTGTGTAGGGGACTCTCTCCACCCTGGGAGAAGCCCGGGTTCTCTCTTGAGCACGTTACTCTCCAATCGCTCCCACTTTCTCTTCCTTTTTCCCTTCAAGACCTCCAAATAAAATCTGTTTTACTTCCAAAAAAAAAAGAAAAAGTAGCTGGGTTATGTTAGGTTTTCTAAACTATAAGGGTAATATGTCTCATGTTTGAGGATGTTTGCCCTTCAAAATGAACTTTTACTGCTTTCTCCCACTCATATAAAAGTCATATAAACACACTGTGGAAAGTTTAGAAAATCTAGATAAGCTAAAATAATAAAAGTAACTGGAAACTCACTGAAAAACAGTGTTAGCTGTGGAGTCTGTCCTTTCAGTCTTTCTTCTACTGTGTGTGAGAACCCATACAGCCACGTGTTAGTTCATTCACACAGGTGCATTTGCTCCAGCATCTAGGCCTATTGTTTAGAGGCCTACCTTTGTGTGTGTGTGTGTGTGTGTGTGTGTGTGTGTGTGTGTGTGACACCCTGCAAGCACAGAGATTACTGCTGGCTCTGCACTCAGGAATTACCCCTGGCGGTGCTCAGGGGACCATATGCTGGGATCGAACCCAGGTCAGCCACGTGCAAGGCACATGCTCTACCCACTGTGCTATTGCTCCAGCCCCAAGGGCCTACTCTTTTTGTCCCTAAAGCAGGGAGAGCAACTTGTTCTATTCCACATTTTCCTACAAAATTTTGTTAAATCTGGGACAATTTTAGCAGATACTCTAGACAAGTCTTTGTGATCTCTTAGTGGTTTTGAGAAATGGTACTGGGGTCATCTGATTTTCCTTCTCTACCTGTGCATTCTTCCATCAAAAGTATAGGAAATAGAGACCAAGTCACATTCAAGGCTGAAACCCGTTTCTTCTGACTGCCGCTCTAGGAGAGATGCTGGTATATGTTGTCTACTGGTGTACTGGAATGAGGGGTGTTTGGTAGGCAGAGGTCTGGGTACAAGCAGAGTCAGCAGAGATTACCTAAAAACTATGGTAATCTTGCTGCCAATATACAAGAGATCTTTATGAGATGTGCTTTCCAATCACCAAAAGTAGAAAGAACTGATAAACAGTCTCTCATCAGGATAAATAGGAGAGTAATAGAGGAAGAAAAGTTTGATATTCCCAGTGTATTCTAAAGCCATCTAAATAAAACAGAAAAAAAAGGAATCAACATCTTCACCTCTTTTCAGAGCATAGGTATAATGTATAATGAAAGCATTCTTTCCGGAAGGACTTGCCTTATAGTTTTCTTGGTAAATCCTGGATAGCTCTTAAAATGATTTAGTTTTTGAGGAAAGTATTTCATACTACAAAAGGACTAAATTTTAGTGTTATAAACTATTGTTAGGGGCTGGAGCGATAGCACAGCAGGTAGGGCTTTGTATGCAGCCAACCTGGGTTCGATTCCCAGCATCAGCACCACCAGGAGTGATTCCTGAGTGCAGAGCCAGGAGTAACCCCTGGCACCATCGGGTGTGACCCAAAAAGCAAAATAAATAAGCAAACAAATAAACTACTGTTATAGAGGATGTTTCTGAGTCTAGATTTCCTTCTCTGTGCAATGGGAGAAAGCAACCTTTAAAGAATTGTATTTGTATCTCCAACACACAAGGCGTCCACTTTATTACTAAGCCATATCTCTGGCCCCGTAGCAATGCATTTTAATAAGGTTGCTGTGAGCATTCAGTAAGATAAAGCAGGCAGTATTGCTCAGCACAGAATAAATGCTCAATAAATATTTAGATATGATGACTGTTAATATTGAAGGGTATGATGATTTAACTATATTTGGAGTTTGGTCACCCAGTTATGCACATATTAAGAAATGATAAAAATTCTTTGCTTATTATAACTTTAATAAAACTGATTGAATAAATGGCTGATGCTATGGATGATAATCATACTTCTGGATTTTTTTTTATTAGTGAAACACCATGAGGTACAAAATTTTGTGCCCATGTGACCAAGTAGCTTTCATGCTTGGGTTTCAGTTATATAATGATCGAGTACCCATCCCTCCATCAGTGCCCATTCTCCAGTAGCCCTCCCACTTCCCATCCCATCCCCCCCACCCCACCCCACCTCTGGGGCAGGGCATTCCCTTTCAATTACTTTTTCCTTCAGGGTGTTGTAGTTTGCAATGGAGGTATTGAGTGGTTATTGTGTTTGGTTTATAGTCTACTTTTAGCATGCATCTCGCATCCCGAGGGAGTCCTCCAAATATCCTTTACTTGGTGTTCCCTTCTCTATCTGAGCTGTCTTTTCCCCTGTTATGTGCTGCCAGCTTCCAAGCCGTGAAGCAGACCTCCTGGTACTTATCTGAACTATTCTTGTGTGTTCGACTCCCATTCTGTTACTTTATATTCCCCAGAAGAGTGCAGTCTTTCTATGTCTAGCCCTCTCTTTCTGGTTCATTTCACTTAGCATGATATTTTCCATGTAGAAACTTCTGGATTTATCCAGTGAAAACAATCAGTTACTTTGACAGCAGAACTGAGGGTTTCCAAGTGGGGTGAGGGAAGGAAGGGGCTGACCAGAAGTGACTAAGAACAGTGATGGAAGGTATTAGGTACTTTGATGCTGGTGGACGTGCAGTAACTTTGTATACTGTTGGAGGTGCAGTAACTTTGTATACTTAAACATAAATAGCAACACTATTTTAATCATGCTATCTCAAAAAAAATGGGCTGGAGCAATAGCAGGGCTGGAGCGATAGCACAGCAGTTGGGCGTTTGCTTTGCACGCGGCCAACTTGGCCGACCTGACTTCGATTTCTCTGCCCCTCTGGGAGAGCTCGGCAAGCTACTGAGATTATCTCGCCTGCCGAGAGTATCTTGCTTGCACGGCAAAGCCTGGCAAGATACCTGTGACATATTCAATATGCCAAACACAGTAACAACAAGTCTCACAACAAAGACGTTACTGGGCCCGCTCAAGCAAATTAATGAACAATGGGAGGACAGTGCTACCTAAAAAACAAAACAACATTTTTAACAAGAAGGATAAAAGATTTCTTCCATTCAAAAATAGCAAGTATTTCTACACAGAAAGTGTTCATAAAATTCTGTTCTGTGAATTGAGCTCCTATTTGACCCAGCAATTCCACTCCTGGGAATATACCCCAGAGAGGCAAAAAAGTATAGTCGAAGCAACATCTGCAGTTGTCTGTTCATTGCAGCACCGTTTACAATATCTAGAATCTGGAAAAAACCTGAGTACCCAAGAATAGATGACTGGTTAAAGAAGCTTTGGTACATCTACACAATGGAATACTATGTAGCTGTCAGAAAGGATGAAGTCATGAAATTTACGTACAAGTGATACTACATGGAAAGTATCATCCTAAGCGAAATGAGTCAGAAAGAGAGGGACAGACATAGAAAGATTGCATTCATCTGGGGAGCATAAAGTAACAAAATAGGAGACTAACACCCAAGAGTGGCCGAGATTAGTACCAGGAGGTTTGCTCCATGGCTTGGAGATCAGTCACACATGCTAGGAGAAAAGGGAGCTCAGATAGAAAAGGGAGCACCAAATAAAGGGTGTTGGGAGGTTCCTTTCAGGATGGGAAATGTGCAATGAGAGTAGACTATAGTCCGAACAAGATTGCCACTCATTGCCTCTTTTGCAAACCACAGCACTCAAAAGGAGAGAGATAACAAAAGGGAATGCCCTGCCACAGAGGTAGGGTGGGATAGGGGGAAGGAGGTGGGAGGGATACTGGACTGGTGGTGGTGGAGAATGGGCACTGGTGGAGGGATGGGTATTCGATCATTGTATAACTGAAACTCAAGCACAAAAATTTGTAAGTCTACAACTGTACCTCATGGTGTTTCACTAATAAAAATTTAAGGGAAAAAATTCTGTTCTGTGGGGAAAGATTTTGTCTGTTCTGTGGGGAAAACTCTTCTCTGGAGAAAGCTTACAGGGCTGGTGTGCATGTGTTGCATGCCAGAGACCTGGCTTTGATCCCTAGCACTGATACTGAGAAACTCATCCCTGAGCACCACCAGTTGTGGGCCCCAAACCAAAACCAAACAAAGAAAAAAAGTCTGTTCTACAGTATGGAAGTATTTGAAGCAACTTGTTTTCTGAACAGTTTTGAAAGTGTTGTCATGGAGTCACAAGAAATTGTGTTTGGGGGCAAGGAAAGAGAGAGAGAGAGAGATGGAAGGATTGATGGATTCTCTTGGGGGGTTGTTTTTTGTTTTGGGGGTCACACTTGATTGTTCCAGGGATCACTCCTAGCAGTTTGGGGTTTGAGGGATGACATGTGGTGCTGAGTATCAATGCAGATTGGCCACGTTTCATGCCCGTTGTATCATCTCTCTAGCCTCTTGGCAGAGGCACTTTTAATTGACCTATTTATATGTTGAAAGATACATTACCACAGTTCTTAGTAACTGTTCAATAAGCCCCTCACCCCATGTTCAGCATCTTTAGTGTCGGACATTTTGAATTTAACACAATCTAGTGTGAGATGGTGAATTATAACCTTTACACAGTTCTGACACATTCCATGTTTTGCATCTCTGGAATGGAGATTTGTAGTTGTGTCTAGTTTGGGGCTGCTGCATGCTCCTCCAGGAGGACAGTGTTCTCATCTGGGCACTGGGACTGACAAGGAATGAGCTATGTTTTTCTCTGATGCAGCCTGAAGTGTTCAATATTTGATAGTGGTCTGAGTGTTTGGTCTTCACCTAGACCCTGTTATCTTCAGTGTACATAATGTGATAGCATGTTTGGATGTATTTGGTTTTGAGATGCTTGTGTGTGGTGTATCACTACAGAACCTTTCAGGGTTCAGTTTTCCAACTGTGAAATAAAGAAAGAGAGGACTCTAAGGCTCTTTGCAACTCAGTTTATGAAAGTGAGCAAGCATAGATCTGGAGTTGCAGACTCAGTAAAAAAAAATACACACTTAATGATGCTCTCTTCCTTTCTTTACTAGGAAATTCCAGTTTGCACACTGATTTGGCCCAGCATTGCCGGAGAAATCTCTTGGGATGTGTTATTTGTTACTGTGAACTTCTTGGTGCCAGGATTACTCATTGTGATTGGTTACTCCAAAATTTTACAGGTATGTGTGCTTTCATTGTTGCAACTGACCTTTGTTTGGACTCAGGGCATAAAAGGTGGCATCAGCATTCCTGGGTTTGGAAGTTACCTTAGTATTCGCACCAGCCCACATGTAGTTTGATGCTCTCTGGATGTCCTGGAGTGAATTGGATCCATCCACTCCTTCAGCAACACTCATGAATGAGGATTTGGTGCTTTGGTTTTGAAGTGAAATACTTTTATTTAGAAAATAAACGAGGAGAAGAGACCCTCCCCACCACCCCCAAAAGGAATTACACATCCTCAGTTGAGTTGCAGGAAACCCCAGAAGTGGAGTGAAGCATAAAACAAAGAGAAAAAAAATCATACACCCAGAATAGAAGGGTGTGGGATTGGGTGCAGAGAATCTGTTTTTTTTTTTAAATGAGTTATAATCTTTGTTATTATCTTTTGTCTTTTGCTTGTCACTAAAGTAATACAAACTCATTACTCAAAATTTCAAAGACATTTTGAAAAGCACAATGAAGAAATTCTCTACTTGGACTATTGACCATTCAACATGTGGTTTTCAAGTCATTTTTCTCATATGTATTTTTCCCTAGCATATGGAATATATGCGTACATATTCATGAAGAACTATATGAAATAGCCAAATATCAACGATGTGCCATAGTTCAAGTCAATGTTCTATTTGTTTTCATATTTGAAATAGTTCTGACTTCCTGGAGCTTGCTTTCTTTGCCTAACACTATATTGTAATATCCCTTCCTTATCAGCTTCCATATCTCCATATCTGCCTTGTTATCTTTAATGACTTCATGGTCTTCTGTCATGCAGATGCACCCTCATTTGTTTTTATAGACGTTTGGAGTGAGCACATTATTTCCCCGTCACAAATAGCAATGTAGTGATAGAGAATGTACACCTCTAGCTGCTTTTTATTACAGTGTAATATGCCTACAGAAACACACACCCAGCTCACACGTACAGTTGAGCAGTTAGTCGGTCACACAAAAGCAGTGCCTGGAATAGAATGGGAGCCAGAACATGACCAAAAGTCCCTTTGAGTACATTACCATCGCTAACACCCCTATTCCCAGAGAATGAAAGTCTCCTAAAGGATGCTGAAACAGGAAGTGATCCTGGTAGAGATGTGAACATGACCTCAGCCTGTTTCTCCTCTCCCAAACCCCCAGTCAGTTTCTTTATTTCTCAGCCGGGCAAGCAGCATGGACAGAAGTTCATGTGTACAGGTGTTGAATGTTGGTTTTATAGTATCGTATGGTGCACCTGACAAAAAGTCATGTATAAGTGGGTGTCAGCAGACCCTGCTATCCATCTGATTACTCTCATAGTCCTTTCTTTGAAACCGAGGATCTATAATCTTCTTAGATGTACAGAACTTAAACTAGGTCAACCTTTGCCTGGGTCCACTAATCTGTGGGTTCTTTCAGACCTCCTTCACCTCCCTCTCACGTTATCCCCTAGACTCTTCCCAATCAGTTACTTGTACCCCCCAGGAGTCCGTGTTTGTTCCAAGAACAGGAAGTTGATTCAGGCATGGAGTAAAGGTGGATAAAGGGGTTGCTCTGGGGCCTGGCATGTGCATATGCTCTTATGTGATAGCTATTATCATCGTGTTGAAAGAAATGGGAGAAAAAAGCAGAGAAATATAGGACAGATTTAAAAATTATTTATACAACATTATTGTTAAATTGAGCGTGCCAGGAACAAACCATTTAATCCTAGTAGAATTGCAAATGAGCAAATCAAGTTGCAGAGAAGTTAAGTAACTTGTCCAAAGGCACACAAACCAAAAGTTTGTGTTCCCCAGTTTCTCAGACATTTTTCATGGGTCTGCTTTGTGTGAAGTGTTGACATGGTGTGGAGATTGGTCAAAAATGAGAACTTAACATTATCCAGAAAAGGAAGGGGTGACAGACCAGGGCACTGTTACTTGGTGCACTGAAACTAAAGCAGAACATGTGAAACCACTTGGCAAATTTTTAGTGCTACACAAATGGAAAAGGTCACACACAAACAGGTGAAAGAGAAGAGACAAAGGGTCAGAAAGACAGACATGAAAGTGATGTTTCTATTTCATGTCTCACACCTCTGAGTGAATGTAAAAGTTATTATTTTACTAATTTGGCTTTGAATTACTTGCGGTGTGGCTTTGGATAAGTTGTTTGCCTTCATTGAACCTCAGCTCTTTCACCTGGAGAATGGCAATCACCATTCCAATAAGGGAGATGGTTGTGAAACATACAGAAGAGATATGTTTTTTTGTAATATATGGAGTGTCAAGAGGCTGGAGCGATAGCACAGTGGTAGAGCGTTTGCCGTGCGTGGTAAAGTCTTCAATATACCAAACACAGTAGCAACAAGTCTCATGATGGAGACATTACTGGGCCTGCTCGAGCAAATTAATGAACAACAGGAGTACTGTGACTGATGGAGTGTCATGCTTGTCTGTACCAAAGGATGACTCCTTTATACCTGCTATTGTTGGGCCAAACTGTTCCTTCAAGCCTTTTTTCAAAGCTGTTCCAGGAGGGACTGCTGAGATTTTTGAGTTGAAACATGGTGAGAACACAGTTCTGTCAATTGAGCAGGGCAGGCTGGAGGGGTGCAAACGTTTACTCTTAACCCTAGTTCATAGGGAGAGCAAGGAACCAGACGCTTTCCATATAGAACCTTGACCAGTTTTCCTTTTTTTGACTGCTACAGACTTCATGATAGCTTGTGGACTTGAACTATCAGTCATGATTTTAGATTTTAAAACAGTGCTTTGAATCAAGGACATGAATCAGAGCCTGTTGTTTTCCTTACATATGGATAAAATTCAAAGTTCTCATCTTAAAGTCCTGAATCACCTGAAATCTGCCACCCTGTTCCTGTCTCTTCCTCTGTCAAGTGTCCACATTTGGGATTTGGGATCATTCCTCAGACAATGTTTCTGCTACCTCAGGGCGTTGGAACCTGCCACTTCCTCTCCTGGATCTTCCTTTTTCAGATATTTTTGCAACCACTGTTCCACTTCATATTTAGGTCTTTACTCAAGAGGCCGTTTCTCAGAGACTCTCCTTGTCATCCTCATGTTCTTGATCCTGACTTATTTCTGGGCCACGCACTTCCCACTCCTGCCATATTCCCCTGCATATGTTTATTTGTTTGCCATCTGGCCTTCCCCCTAGAGTCACCCTCCATTAGGGCAGAGACTATTTAGTTAATTGCTCTATCTCCAGCCCTAGAACGGGCCTTGCTGAAGCATATTGAAAGGGCCAACAGAGCCTTTACCTCTGGGTAGTGGAAAACCACTGAACGGAGTGGTAAGATCAGATTCTCACCCACACCTTATTCCTGGGTGACCTTAGGCCAATCATGTAACTAATGTGGCCTCAATTTTCCCTGGCACCAGATGCGCCTCAGTGGAATTTTAGCACAATAAAATAAGAGTGTAAATATAATCATCATGAAAGTGGAAAATCACGAGGTTCGTGCAAATATAAGACTTTTAAAAGATTAGTTTCCATCCCATTGACGAAACTGACCATTGCCCATTTCCCGGGAGGACAATGACATTAGTCTTCCTTTGGCACCCTTGGATCTGCTAAGGTGATGGCCCTGAAAGCAGGTACAAAGAGAATGCTGAGCTTTTTCTCTGAAGGACATAACTATAAAATCAGTTGAACATTAAAATTAATCATTCGTATTCAGAGGGACCAGTTAGAAAATCATCTGTAGCCACTGCATCCCCACTTTTGTCGCCAGTCAACTCGCTAGTCACTACTCTCTCTGCCTTAAGCATCAGCAATAGGCCAGCGAATAGCTGCTTTCAAATCTCCCTGCTGTTACTCCTCTGAGTACCCCATAAAGCACTCTCTAGCACTCCGGTGATGTTAGATGTTGAATTCTATGATCAAATGAGTTGGGGACGGAGCTGGGTGGAAGGTGTATGCTAGGTAAATCAGAATTAAATAGTTTCTTTGCTGCAGGAGTTATCAGGGCCTATATTATGCAAATATACTTTAGGAACCTACTCAGGAGTCAGTAAAATCAGTCCTATAGTTGTAGATTTACAAATTTGTAAATCTACAACTGTACCTCATGGTGTTTCACTAATAAAAAAGAAAAAAAAAGAAATAGAAAAAAAAAAGAAATGAATGAACCAGGAAAAAGAAAGCCAAATAAAAAAAGATACATACAATAAAAAAAAAATCAGTCCTATAAACAGAATTTGTCTCCACCAGACTAGTTACTTAAACTGTGGGTCATGACCCCCAGATGACTTTTCAAACTGGATATCGGAGGAAGGGGGGAATCATGAAAAATTGTTTCAAAATAAAATTATGGTGCATTATCGGTAAATGTTTAATTTGTATTTTATATACCCGATAGCATAAAATGTTCTCAGGCAACATGGAATGAGTGTGAGCAGAAAAACATTAAGGTGCTCCTCCCTAGACTTCCTCTGCATTGGTGCTCCAAGAGTCTCCCTGGGGAAAATGCCTTAAAAGCCCCATTTTGGTAGCTGCATCCACCCTGAGCAAGGCATGGGGGTCTTCACCTGGGTCCTTCGCTGCAGAGTCGACTTCTGTAAGAATGCTTGCTCCACGCTAGGGGTTTAAGAAGTATAAGTTGAAGTTGGGAAATGCTTCAGTAACTCTGAGAAATGGAGTCAGCCTCCACTGAACATGCAAGCACGCTAAGAAGCGCACCCACACCTTTTCGTCTATGCCTGTAGTAGGGCCTGGCTCTTGAAGATATTCAGGCAGGGAGGGATTCTGACAGAGGATTTTATGTGAGACTGCTGATTAACCACAGAGTTTCCTGCCAGAAGCCCAGGGACCCATCTGGGTCAGTGAGGAATCATCTTCACCTAGACCTTTCTCTCGGGCCCATTCTGGTGCCTAAGCCAGTAGTCTTCCGTGCCCTCTGCTTCTCACTTCCTCTTTCCTTGTGACTCAGACCTGTTATTCGTCTTCCACGGCCTGTTCCAATGTAGCTTCCCAGGGAAAT